CGACTGGCGTCACATGGAGGCGCGGTTTCTGTGCGCAGGTGCCAAATATCCTCCTCGATCTCAGTCGAAGGTCCCGCCGTGCCTCCGCCCGATGCGCTGTCTTCCACTAGAGATCTCAATCAGGGGAACACAGCGACCAAGCTCCGAAACGCGAGTTCGTATCCACCTTCGCCATTTGTGGGACTCCCGACGCTGACCGCTGCGTCTTCACACAGCCCTGCGGATTTCCTCGCGGCAGTGGACGCGGCTACCAACTCCACACACAAAACGTCCACGGCGCCCGACAGAGACCAGGACCCAAATACTCATCAGCCTCAAAGAACTGCTGAACCCGCAAACGCACAGACTCAGAATGGGACAAATTGTGGTACACACGCGTTCCAGAATATCCGTGACGCCGGAACGTTGCACTCGGTGCGTCTGCGACTTCACCTTCAACCCCGTCGAAGTCAGAGCGCTCACCGTGTGACCGCAGCTGCCTTCGCGGCAGCTCACCGGATGCAAACGCTCGTCAGCGACCGTGGCCTCCGACGCGCAGACCCGCCTTCTCAAGACGTCCTCACCGGCGAGTTCAAGTTCATGCAGGCATATCGCCCCATCCGGGAACTCGTCGAGCACTCGGCGCCCAGGATCCGCGAGTGCGACGGCATCGCTGCGATCCAGCCGTTCGTCGCGCACGCGTTCTCCTCCTCGAAACGCTCCTCGACACGTTTGACTGGTCGCTGCCTGTATCACCGGACGACGCCTGCAGCTGGTTCTGCGAGATCCTGATCGACATACTTCAATTCCACTCCCATTCCTCAGACGGCATTCGCCATCTGGTCACACCTTCGCTCGTTGCAGCGCTTGAGAACACGTTCATACATCTCGTTGGAACGGAGGACTGGCGTCACATGGACCCGCCGAGTCTCTATGTGGGCATGTGCAAAGATCGCCTCCTCGATCTCACGTGGAAGGTCCCGCCGTGCCGGGCCCCTCCACCAGACGCGTCGTCTTCCGCCGCAGGTCCTCAACTGGAGAAACAGAGCGACCAAGCTGCGGAACCCGAGCTCGTATCCGTCCTTCATCTGTGCGATTCCCGACGCTGACCCCGTCTCACAGCCCTGCGGATTCCCCGTGGAGGCGGACGCCACTGCTACTCCACACGAAATGTCCGTGGCGCCCGACGCGGTTCCTGCCACTTTGCCGACCGTACCCACGGATATGCCGCGTGCACCTTAGATTTTCGTCGTACACGGGTTGAAGCGATGGCGTTTCGTGCGCAGGACTCCCTGAGGACGTGGGGCGATTGGTCCTGGGCTTCATTCATTCGTGTATGTCTGTATGGCGAGAACAGAGAGCGGAATAACTTGCGATGGCAGTCAGAGGCGAAATTTCATCCTCCAGCTCCGCTTCCTCTCGATTAGAAATACTGGACCTGGTTGAAGTGGACGAGACCACAACATGTCATCGAAGGATACGAGCAAACAACAAGTACACAGTGGTGCGGTCTGATTACATGTCAGCCACCGTCCGTTGTTTCGACGCCAGCGTTCCTCCACAGGCCAAGTCTCTGTTCTGACATCGGGCACTGGAACCAGAACCAGACATGAGCAGTTTTTCACCGACAGGGGGAAGCAGGGAAGGCGCTCAGAGCTTGTTCAACGCCCTCACGCGTCTTCTGCGGACCAAGCTCATCGTCATGGAACCCGTCTGCTTCGACGCGCACCCGGAGGACATCGCCGGCGTTGATGCACATCCGGTCCGTCAGGGGCAACTCGAGGAGCTCGTGAGACAAGCAAGTTGCTTCCGATCCTGGAAGCCGGCAATGTGCTCGCTCTTCTGGGTTGTTGCGGGTGGACGGAGATGGGTGGCGGGGAAGACATGCTAGATAGGGGGCACTTACAAGGTGCGGGGGTCCGACAGGTAAACAAGGGGGACGTAGATGTCGCCAAAGAATCCGACAGTTACTGGACGCGAGTGAGCTTCGGGGCGCGAGAACGAGGCCGAAGAGACCGACGTCGGACACCGTCCTCATCCGAGGACTTGATCTTGGCGAGAATGACCTCGGATCCGGAGGGACGGAAGACGCAGAGAATTGGTAGTCGTACCTCCACCTAGTGCGAGACAGACTCACCGATCTTTGTACCACAGACATCCATCTCCGTGCCGTACCTTGCCCTGCCGTACTTCCGCGAAGACGAAGACACGTGTGCACATGCCGACGCCGTGCAAGACGCGTCTCGCGTGGACCTCGTTGAGTGCATTGGTGATAGCTTGTTCCGGAGGTAGACGAGCTGAGCCGGATGTACAGCTACTGTGTCCTGTCAGCTTCACTGCGTTAGACATGGTCGGTTGCGAAGGAAGACGGGCGGACCTTGAGCTTGATCACGGAGAGCCGGAACGCAGAGGGCGTGACTCGGTGTTCTTTTCGACGCCCAGACGCTTGCAAGCACGAGATGGGCTGAGAGAGCGCGAGGCGGTCGAGAGGGCGGGGAAGGCGCGAACTCGCTCGACGCGGCGTCCACCTCGCGCGCATGACGCAATCGAGCGCCTGCGGTGACGCCTCTCCCGCCCAGCGCTTGGCGCTTGTTGACCAGCCTTGGACTCGAAGCAGGGCGCACCGCGGTCGACGCAACGCCTCATCCACGGCGTACCCGCCCATCTCGACGCGTCAAGACCTCGCCCGACACACTCACCCACAGGTTGTTGCGTCCCAGGGCATACCGCGGTCGACACAGCCTGTTACCCATAGCGTTGCAGCCTCTCGCCCCGTCGACCATCGGCCATCGCTGCCCCGCTCCTCCACGCCTCCCCGGCTGTCTCGTCCGTGAATTCCGGCGCTTCGATGTGCGACTCTGCCAACGAACGCGCAAAGTCAGCGGCACCCAGCAAGAGATCGGCCCTCGACGCACCCCCGCCAAGGCATTATCGTGCACGAACCCGTTAGCGGGCGTGTGCAAAAATCAGGACGCGTACCACTACTCCCAATTCCGTCGTTTCACCTGGCCCGTAGCGGGATGCAGACCAGAGCGTGCTTGCAGCCGACCACTCGTACGTGTTCATCTACCTTCTTATCCTCCTAGCCCTCCCTCCAGCCAAGACCCCCATTTCCGACTCTCCCACCGTTCAGACCTCTTCGTTCTACCGCGTCTGTACTATCCCGACGTCTGTCCTCCCCGCTAACCATGTCCTGCCGTGGCC